ATAATAATAATAATAATAATAATAATTGCATTAGCAAGAAAGCCATAGCAACTGTACAGAATTTAAAAAAACCAAACCAAAAAACAGCAACACACACTTAAAATTATCAAATTTGTATATAGGTCGACAGTTATCAGCAATAAACTAATTAAACTCAGGGAGATTTGTTTTCTTAATCACCGCAGCTAGAAAGTAAGCCACTATAGCCGTGGTTTGATTGTCAGGGAAGTTATCAGACAATAGCACTGAAACTGCCCAAGGAAGGAGGGGAAGCTTTTCTTTTCTCATAACGGGAATGATGTATCTCTCTCTTTCCTTATTCCACTTAGGACAAAAAAACATTATATGATCTATAGTTTCTATCATCTCTTGTCCACAGTCGCAAACACGTTCCGAAAATGGAAGTCCCAAGAAACGACCAGAGAGCACCTTAGAGGGGAAGGAGTTGAGTCTCGCCAAGGTGAACGCTCTGTGTTGTCTTGGGATCTTTAAAGTGTAGCAATACGACGGAATAGCCTCAGGGGGGGCAAGACCCAAGGATAGACCAGAGCAAGTACGTCGGTACTGCTGAAGTCAAGTTCCTTTAGTTTTGATTTAATTTCTCTGAGTGACTCGTTTAACAATGAAGCTGTTATACCCTAACAAATAATACGTCAGCAGTAAAAGAGATATAGGACAGATTTCTGCCCTATTTGGAAGGATGTCCCTATCACAATTTACATCTTGTGATGTGCAGAGTTTGGGATTGTGATGCGCCACACCTGGGACATGCCACAGCTTCATACTCTGCACTGATTTACAAAGAACAGTTCTTGATTCTCTAATTCCAATGTGCAGCACTCATTAAAATATGGTGCATAAGCAACCATTATGACGGGGGGGGGGAGTTGAGGCAGAAGGAGTAGGGGGAACTCACCGTTCTGCCCCCTTCCCACTTTTAACACCCCAACGAGGATTACTCTCACATCTAACAGAGGCTGATTTGCATTAAGAAACCCAACATCCCACGGCAGCACCCCAATGCAAATGTCTCCACTTAGAAACTGATTTCCAGAGAACTTTAAGTCTGTGTACAACATTCAGAGAGGGCGACTACCGGGGGCAAGCAAATGCTGCTGTTCCAGAATAACCAGTGCAGAGTGGAAAGGCCTAACCAGGTGGATCTATCTGTGGGAGGGGGGACGGCGGGGGGGGGAGGAAGGAGGGAATCCCACCCTCTGCATAACCAGCCCTGACTGAATTGCCCCTCTGGCCAGCCCCACTCTTACCGTGCTGCTGTTTGGACCCATAACTTCCCTCGTCCATCAGGAGCAGTAGGAGCGGAAGGAGCAGGCGGCTATGGGGCATCTTTTGAGGGGCTCTCCGCAGCGGATCTTGCAAAAAAATAAATAAATAACAGCTAAGCTTTTTGGAGAGACGGATGGGATGCCGCTCTGCTTTGCACAAGTCCCTCCCAGTCGTCCCGGAGCTGCTGTGCCACGCAATAAGCACGCCTCTTGCAGGAAGGGGGGGGGGCTCCTCCGCTTTACAGGCCTCTCCTGCCTTCCACACACACACACACCCCAATCCAGCCTGCCTCAAGATCCAGAGATCGTCCCAGGAGGGGAGCTACAGCATCAGAAAGGCTACGCCTTGGAATAAAAACAGATTTCAACTGCAGAACACAAGTCACTGTTATCTTAGGGTCTCAGTATGACTTTGGTGAATTGACCCTGGTAAAAATATGTGGCTTGTTCAAATCCAAAATGGCACTCTGCAAGTCCTGGTTAATGATTCCAGAATGACAGCCTCTGTCATTGGGTTCTCTCCCCACGACTGTCCAGCAATGATAGAATTTCGACTGAAATATCTGCAAAATAATCAAAACTTCACTTTTTTGATTCAGGTCGGCGGCCGTGTTGGTCAGAAGCCACAGAACAATGTTTGAGTCCAGCGGCACCTTTAAGGCCAACCAAGTCTAATTCTGGGTAGAAGCTTTCGTGAGCACACAAGCTTCTTCAGATACAGTGCTAATTTACAACATAAATCCAGAAATATCTGTGCCATAATCTGAAGGAAAAGCCGCGTTAGATTTTACAGAAATACACCTGAACAACAAAAAATCTTCAAAAATAAACAAACACAGCTATAACTCAGTGTGGATTCAAATCTGATGTAGCCAATTAAAAAAAAAATCTCATCCTCTTCTCTTCCCATTGATTAACTAAACATTTAATCTACTGGTTGGACCAATTAATGCCGCATTCCTAAACCATCCTTACTAGGCAGTAGTTCCCATTCAACTTAGTTTGCACTGGTGTTCTCAACAGGGGTAGTTCACTCATCAGGTACCTGATCATAGCCCTGGACTATTTAATCCAGAGGAGCCGCACCTCTGTGTGTTCTATATTCATGAGGACTAGAATCCCCATTTCCAAAAACCTGTCCGTACTGAAAGGAGACCTTTTTGGAGGAGAAGCAAGGGGAATTGTAATGGTTTTATGTTACATTATGATCTATATGTATGGTTATATATGGTTTTACATGTATATTTCTTTTTATAGTAATCCTCTTTTAAGGTATTTTACGCCAATAAAAGTTAACTGAACTGAACTGACTTCAGCAGCTGCCTAACAGGCAGAAATTCAACCGTGAACACTTTCCTCATTCCACATTGGCAAAGTTTTATCAGTTAGATCTCTGCCTGTCACCACACGTAACAGACTTGGTCGGCATTTCGTCTTCCTCAGCTGCTGCCAGAACATTTGTGCGTGTGTATGTGGGGGGCAATGTTCCCTTTAAGCTGTGGAGTTTTGTGAGCAAAAATTCTACTTTGTGAGCTACTGGCATTAAAGTTGTGAGCAAGTGATTTGGCTACTGAATAAATTAGTTTGCTCTGGACCCATCCTTCCTGAGCTAAAACAAAAATCTGTGAGCTGGAGGCTAAAAAACTGTGAGCTAGCTCACGCTAACTCAGCTTAGAGGGAACACTGGTGGGGGGTGTCCGACATTTTCATTTCCCTAATAAAAAGGAGATGTGCATTCTATGTACACTCAAGGCTACTTTGCCCTTATACACCATTTTTAACTGAAAAGATTTGTTCTCAGGGGAATGGTATTTTGCACGGACCAAGAGACACCACCCTTAGATCATTAAAAAGCCCCCTCCCGTGAGGATAAAATGGAGAAGAGAACGGTGTAAGCTGCTCTGGGACCCAATGGGGAGGAAAATGGGCTATAAATGACATGATAAATATGTTTTCAGCAACGAAATGTACACACACTCTGGGACACTGCTGTTGGTTTTAACAAATGCAAAACTGTGCCTCCGTGCAAGGAAAAGGTATTCTACATATTCTCCAGGTCATCCATCTCTTAGTTTCACACCGTGCTTAAGGAAACATTCTGCATCTGCTTAAGGGGGCCTGAAAGACTACATCCTCATCACTTTTCCCCAAAAAAGGTTTTGTGCTGCTCAAGAAAAAGACATTTTTTTACATACTGAGTGAGCTCCTTGATCCATAGGCACCTGTTCTTCTCAGGAAAAGGCACTTAACACATGCTCGGGTACATTTTCACCTCAGGACCATAACAGGAAAAAAGTCCTCCAGTACTTTAGGCCCCAATCACATCCCGTATGGTGCGCAGAAAAGCACTCTGCAGATGCTCAAAGGGACCCAAGAAGACCAAATGTCTTGAAAACCCCATGGCAGCAACTCTCTGTGGCTGCTCCGTGCACAAATCTTTCCTGTTTTGTCTAAGAAACGTACTCTGCACAATTCTTTTTACCACAGACCCTTTCCAAAATATTGTTCTATGCAAGGAAAAGCACTCTTCACATGCTCAGGAAAATGCTGCCATGGAATCCTTTAAAAATGCTGATCTGCAGAAGAAAAAGGAAAATGCTCAGGAAAATGTTGCCATAGATGCCTCCAAAAGATATTGTCGTAAAGTCCTCCAAAAAAAGGTTGCTCTGCCGAGGAAAAGGCACTCCCCACATGCTCAGGAAAACGCTGCCGAGCAGAATGCCCCCCAAAAGATGCTGTCCAGCAGGAGGAAAAGGCACTCCCCACATGCTCAGGAAACCACTGTCGTCAAGTCCTCCAAAGAAGATGTTGCTCCGCACAAGGAAAAGGTACTCCACACATGCTCAGGAAAACGCTGCCGAGCAGAATGCCCCCCAAAAGATGCTGTCCAGCAGGAGGAAAAGGCACTCCCCACATGCTCAGGAAACCATTGTCTTAGAGTTCTCCCAAAAAAGGTTGCTCTGCAGAGGAAAAGCAAAAGGCACTCCCCACATGCTCAGGAAACCACTGTCGTCGAGTCCTCCAAAGAAGATGTTGCTCCGCACAAGGAAAAGGCACTCCACACATGCTCAGGAAAACGCTGCTGAGCAGAATGCCCCCCCCCCAAAGATGTTGCCCAGCGGGAGGAAAAGGCACTCTCCACATGCTCCGGGTCCTCCCGCCGCGCTGTGGTGGCAGCAGAGCCCACTTTTGAGACGCGGGCGCGCTCTGCACATGCCCCGGGGCCGCGCCGCCCTCGGCGCCCTGAAAGCCGAGCTCTCCTCACCCCTCCCTCCCCGCCTCCGCGGGAGGAAACCGAAAGGAGGAGGTGGCGGCGGCGGCGGCCTCCCTCCCTCCCCGAGCC